GAAAGCACATCCATCTGAGCCGATTTCAACTTACCTTCCAATATCTTGATCATAGACTCAAGTGATCTAATTTTCTTGGAATTTATATCGTTATCGGCTTTAAAACTTGCAAGAGAAATATCTTTGCTAGCATTTTTAATCTGCAGACGTTTAGTCTCAGCAATAAGCTCCAGATCATGGGCACGTAAATTCTGAATCGCAGTATTGGATTCATCTAGTGTCTGACTCCATTTTTTTCTCTCCTGTTCCCAACCTTTCCGTTCACGATCAAACCCCTGATCTTGCTTTATGCACCTGTCTTGTAATTTTTTATTACAAGAATTTAATCCAGATATAACTTTTACAATATGAGATTCTTTATCTTGCACATTGGCCATATATTTTGGCTAAACTATGTGTAATAGAAATAAGATAAATCATAAAATTTCTGATTATTAGAGAATATCCAAAAGATTTCGATTAAATAAAACATACCTTTTACCTGAAACCATTTGTGAAATAATAAATAGTAGAGGTATGCAAAATGCAATATCGATTTTAGCTAAAAAGTATCACATATCTTATACATCTATCCATGATATATGGAAATTTGTGGATATGATAAATAATTAGTACAAATGTTTATGCATATTAAAAAAAAATAAATATTCTGAAACATATACAAACATTTTGAAACATCTCGAAACATTTTGAAACTTTTCTTTATTTTTAATAGCTATAAACAATAGAAAATTATTTTTAATAGCTATAAACAATAGAAAATTTCTGATATGGGTCGTATTCATAAAGAATATTATAGCACTAATGCGAGATTTTTATCAGTTGAGGCAATCAAAGATATTAAAACATCACCCGGTAGAGTACCTGATGCTATAAATTCTATGGCAAAAAAATATCGTATATCCTATGTTCGAGCCAAAGATTATATTGAAAATCGGGAGTGTAAACAACAAATGATATACTCTCATTCATCTCAACCATCTATACTTGTAAATGATTACTTGCCAAACACTGAAATCCCTGGACAAAATATAAATAATGATTTCCATCTCGATTCTCAATCGCAAGACACCAAAATAACTTTGCATAGCTCTGCTGATATTCCAGATAAACAGACGAAAAAGAGGCGATCGAAGTCCAAATCTGTACGAATTTCTGATCCATCCACTAATAGTGATAGCCAACTTGAAAAGGTGTTAAAGGAGGGAGAGGAGCTAATAAAAAGTTCAGATCATATATTAAATAGTCACCCTGTGTCTACCTCCAGTAATTTTTAATCGGTTTTCCTTTTATTCATAGTTTCATATTTTGATTGTAAAAGTCTGTTACGAATATTAAGCTCAGTAATGATTTTGATACCCCTCTCACAATTTACGCATTTTTTTTTAACTCTGTATCTGTATCTTCAGAAATAGATGGAATTGCATTAACGTGATGTACCTCAAGCTTATTTTCGACTTTATGCATAGTAACTGGAATTTAAAAATCTTTCCCGTTGCAATTGATCTTCAGTAAATCCTTATCTCCTAGTATTTGATATTTGTGACGGTAAAGGAAGGGATTACTCAATAACAGCATAGGCTTATCATATTCAATAACTACAAAATCTAAATAAAATACACAATCCGGGGCTAGGGTTAACAGTACATTATAAACCATTCCAATAGATTTTGTCAGAACAGTGGTTGCTCCCTTGAAATAATGAGTAGTACTTTTATCGATTTTTAAACCCAAACGTTTCAGCAATGTCTCTAGACATAAGCAAAGTATTTGAGCCAGGATCAATTGTAATCGCTGAAAGTACTAGACGTTTGATTTTACCCCGAACAGTTGGAACATCTATCACATCTTTATCCTGGATAAAGTTAATTTCCATACCTTCGATAATTTCTTCATCTTCAGTTTCGCTTTGTTGGAGTGTATCATTTGCGGTACTAGGTTTCTGAAAATTTTGTAAGATTTTACTTATAGCCTCCTCTAATAAAGTGGAATTTATAAGCTCACTTTGAATAATTTCACGAATTCGTCGTTCCAGTAAAGTTGAAGTGGGATTTTGTGATACTTGAGGAGAAACTTGAATCTCCTTACCCTCTGAAGAATATGCATCTTCCTTGTCTTTGGATCGGGATTGTTTGTTGGATATTTTCTTAATGAGTTCTCTAGGTCGATCTACTTTTTTTTAATTCTGGATACATTAACATTTGATTCTTCACTAAGTGCATTATCATCAAATTCACCATCATCTTCTTGATCGGAAATAGCAGATTCATTAGGGGTTTCTTCCATATCACAGCTATTATCAAATTGATCTTGTGAGAACCCATCGGCGAAATTCACACGACCAGCTCTTTTCCTAGAATTATTAACCATCATATTCTTAATTATAGAACAACTGCGATAAGTATGACCTAGCTTTTTACAAATCTCACATTTGCGTTAAGCTTGTCTAGTACTTAATCTAGGACCTCTAGCCAGATTTATTGTCGGACTTTGTGAATTGGACAACCCTTCAAGCTGATCTATTTTATTCACAACATTGATTATCGCGTAATCAATTTCCATCGGTTCAAACACTCTATTATCCTCAGCCTCAAGACCCATTTCTGCATAGTTTTTCAATTCCTCGTAGTATTTGGCTTTCTCAGTTTTGGGGTGAAAATTGTGTTGAAATGGCTGGGATTCTGGTGGTTGGAATACTGGCTGTTGAACGATTTGCTGAGGCGGTTGGAATGCGGGTTGTTGAACGATCTGCTGAGGCGGTTGGAATACTGGCTGTTGAACGATCTGCTGAGGTGGTTGAAAAGTCGTTCCATTCATACTATTTGCATTTCCGTAATTAAACGAAGAAGGCCTACGTTTAAGCCACAAATTTTTGAGATGAGTAAAGAATGCATTAATATCCGTGGGATTTGCACGTTCCATCCTGGTGAAAAGTTCATTTGGTAAATGATCCATAATAAATGACAAGGCATTCGCATCGTTGTTAGCAACACCCAATAATAGGGGGCGTATTCTCGTCTCATATGTTTCCGGTGTATCATTAGGTAAAAATTTTTCATAAGCTAATCTCTGGAGAGCAACTTGCTGTGTCCCAATCGTTTCTGTCTGATATTTATGACGCAACCATGCAATAAAGCGAGCTGGAGTATCAATATTATTTCCAGCATGTTGATCAGGTACATCTGCATATTTTCGGCCAAGTCTACCTTTTAAAATAGCTACTTTATTGGCATCATTGAGATTAGTTATCGCAGGAATAGCTAGTATTGCGTGAATTTTATTATACCATTCATCGGGCTGAACCTGTCCATCATAGAATTCAACATTTGCGAGTAAAGGTGTAATACCAGTTAAGTCACCTATAGCTGTCATATTTTGCAGGTTATTCTGAAGCGCTAAAATTTGCTGATTTAAATT